GGCCTTCCTGCCAGAACAATTTGGGAGATAGTCTCATAAATAAGTACTCTCAGCTTCTCTTCCTTGGATGATAGTGATGATTGATGATGATGAAGAAGACAATGATTATGTTGATGATGATAGGTGCACAGTCAGGCAGATATATCATGTTTCCCTGTGGAAAAAAGTATCATCACAGAATGATATATTATTAAATAAATTGTTAATAATTTCAACTATTTAATCATTTATAGTTGTTTTAATTCATTTGATCTGTAAAAATTATCACAATCTTATATGTATGCTCTAAGGTAGACATAATGACATGAGCATTACGAATATAAAAAATAAAACATAAAACAAAACATTTTATAATGAGCATCTTATATAATTATTAAATAATTATTATCATCAACTACAGTTATTGTTATACACGCAACAGCACGAAACCACAGCCTTCAGTTGTTTGCCTGGCACTGGCCTTCATTCACACTCAGTTCTTTCCAAGAAGCTAGGATGCTGTGATATATTGTTATAGTAGGTGTGTTTTTTGAAGTGTGGCTCTTTATCATTGACAGATGGAAATTTTGTCAATGCACAGGTTTTCTATGATGATGGTGATCATCGTTGGTTGCACTCAGCCAGATGTTTAGACTGGATTTGGCATTTTTTTAATCTACCTGAGATAGGCAGATGTTGTTTGATGTTATTAAAGATGTTGTCACAGGATATGAGCTGTCCCAAGTAAAGCTGCCTTTGGCATTTGACTGGCAATTTTTGTTAGTGCTGATGGTTGTCTTGTGATGCTGCAGGTGTTTTGGATTGCATCTAAGGCAACTATCCCTATTGGTACTCTCTCTGCTTTTCCCTAGTTCTTTCTCTTTTATTCTGTTGTCTCCAGGTACTGCCACGCCCATTCTCCAGACTTTTTTGCTTTTCCTATCGACAGTTGTTAAGTCTGGCATGTTTTGTGACAGGTGCTTCTCTGTTTAAATTCTCAACTCCCAGAGCATTTTAGCTTCTTTTGTTTTCTATTACTTTGTCTATTTTGTGGTCCTATCAGTTCTGGCTTGCGGGCAAATTGTATTTCTTGCAGATATTTCAATGCATCCTAGTTATTTTTATCATGGGTCATTGCCCAGTCAGTCAAATGTTTAGAACTGGATTTGCCATTTTTACCCAGCTATTATTATTATTATCATCCTTCAGGTCACTATAAGGCAGTGAACCAGAACACTTGACTAGCACTAAGCAGACATTCTACATTCCATTTACTCGGTTCCTCCCCAAGCTAAGAGAAACATTTCTGAGCCTTTTCATGACTGAAGCTTCAAAATTAGCTTTCTGTGAGGACAATTGATTAGAAAACAGGCCTGGGAAGGTCATGCTCTGCCTCCTTTCACAAGAAATTACAAGAAAAAACTAGTGCAGCATGTACAATTGGAACATCCCAAGGAAATAATTGTAGGTAGCGATTAATTTCTTCCCCATTCTTCTTTGAAAGTCATACAGTGTGCCATGCCATACATTCTCTATTTACCTATTTCATTCATTCATTCATTCATTCATTCATTCATTCATTCATTCATTTATTCATTCATTTTGTATAGCTGTCCATCTCATCTCAGTGACTCTGGGCAGCTCACAACAATTAAAGCAATAGCCAAAACAAAAACAAAAAAACCAATGAATAAAAAAGGCCTACAAACCCTCAATAAAAACACATTAAAAACAGAAAAATCACCCTCACAGTCACTGAACAGGGTCTCCACTACTAGCTGATCCCCCAAGCACGATGGCAGAGCCATGTTTTCAGAGCTTTCCCAAAAGCTGGTTGGTTTGATGTTCCAAAGGGCAGATGGCATGGCAAAAAAACATGCTCTTCTTGCTTCAACATGTCTCCCCTGCCAGAGTATGCTGAGATTGGTAGATGTAACCAGGGAGAGGCAATCCCTCAAATACCCTGATCCTATGCTCTGTAGGGCTTCACAGGTCCTTACCAGCTCCTTGAATTGAAACTAGAAGCATACTGGCAGCCAGTGCGGCTGATAAAACAGAGATGTCGCATGTTGAGGAGTAGACATAACTTCCTGTGCCACTGCATTTTGCACTAGTTGCAGCTTCCTCATGCTCTTCAAGGGCAGCCCCATGTAAACCACATGACAGCAATCCACTTATGATGTGTCCAGGATGGAAGTGATTGAGAAGAGAGCCCCCTGATCCAGGGCCAGGTACAAATAGTACACAACATGAAGCTAACCAAAGGGCCTCCAGGCCACAGTTGGCATCTGCTCTTTGAGCAGAAGTCATGAATCATGAGCCACAACCAAGACAATATCAAATAAAAGAAATTGGAGTTTGGGGCAGAAATGTAATCTCAGAAAGCCTCTGAGACAGGACTCTCCCTACTTCTTATGAAGACAAAGGGAGCAGAGAGAAAACACATTACGATTTGTAGGATTTTGTTATTATAACCTTAAAATGTAGCAGTGTCTTATTTGTCCTAGGTTTCCAAGTTTGGCCTGCCTTGGAAAACTGGCATCAATCTTTTCACTTGGAGGAATGGTGGATTCTATGGATCAGACATGTCAAACTCGCGATGTCACATGACATTGCGCAACGTATTGGGACGGTTTTGCCATTGCTAGCAATGGGGTGGGCGTGGCTTCCGGATGATGCATCCAGCCTTGCTATAGATGGATAGAAGTCACATGGTTGTGATCCAATCCAAAGCCTCCACCACTCCCTCATTCCAGGCAATAGTTAGAGCCTCAATCAGACCATGGGACAACTCCCAAGATCCTTCTGGAACCTGTCAGGATTGCTTGTTCCCTGGGATGTTCTGATTGAATAGTCCCATCTTTTGGGGGTGAGAATGGCAACAGAGAACCTCAGTGGCTACCAGGGAGTGATCTGATTGTGACAAGGGAGTAACAGAGTACTCCCCCAAATCCAGATCTGAACAAAGAGCAGATCCGGTGCATTATCACATCTCTGGTCCGTGGTTCTCAAGTAACCATGAACTCTCAGAAAAGACAACTTGAAGTCTCCTGGAACCATAAACCTGGGTAACTCCACCACCAGTCTGATTATGCAGTCAGGAAGCTTAAGCAAGGAAGGTGCCATGCACCAATTAGCCAAGTATCTTAAAAATACTGCTTTATTTCCGGTTTAATCTACAAGTAGGCATTAAAATAAATTTGTGGGTCAACATCCACAAAGGCTATGTTTCTTCCATAATACTACCTGGGACATTTTAACTGCGTCTTTTAATCATAGTAGTGTTTTTATATAACATGCTATGTCAGAAGCAAGTAGGGCACAGTATGGCTTAGCCTCCTGTCAGAATGAGGCCATCTTAGCAGGAAAAATGAATTCTCACACTCTTCTCCCCTCTTCCCCCCCCCCAATAATTTTGTCATTGCCGTCTCTGTGCCTAGCTTCTTTGGCAAAAGGATTGTCGCTTTTCTGGATTCAGTTCAATTTCATTCGGAGGAAAAAGAGGGAAAGGCGTATTGGCAGCCAGCTTGTATCGAAATAAATAATGGATCACTGCAAATCTGCAATAATTGAAAATTTCTCTTTAAAGAAGATCTCTCAAAAGAAATTTGAAAGAAAGAGAGTTAAGATTTTTCACACTACTTTTCTCAAATGACAAAAAGCAAAGTGGATAATGAAAAATAGCCAGGATAACTGCAGGGTATGATTAAAACACACACACACACACACACACACACAATGTTTTATGTGCAACAGAAGCACAGTTTTGGATATCTAAAAGAAACCCTCAAGGGAATTGCTGCTTTAATTGTCTCTTCAGCCTATCCCATATACTGCATCAATGCTCAAATTTCCTGCTTGTCCATGCTTACCGTAATTAAAGAGGGGCATAGGTCTTCACAGGGTATGGTTTTAAAAAATAACAAGACAGCAGTCACAATAATGCAATGGAAACTCCGTCTATTTTCATGTACACTGCAAACTTTTAATTTAAAAAACAAACAAACAGATGGAACTTTGATGGCATAGTTTGGGCCACAATATTGACTTTTTTGGGCCACACCCAATGGACGTCCCTGGTGAGAGATTTCTGCAGGTATTTGGATCTGAAATGGGAAAAAGTGCTTCTCGTATACACTTTTACTCTGCCTGTCAAGGACATCTATGCCCTTGACATTCCCTGAATTGAAGTATGCATTGTTCGTGAATTTTGCACTTACCATGTAAGAGCAGGAAAAGGGGTGTCTCCTTTTAAGGTGGTGTTGACAGGCACAGCAGGTGCCCCCAAACCAAGTCAGAAGCACTTCTTCCACTTTGGATGCTGATACCTCCTTTGTTTGCTGAATGAACCCCAGTAACACAACACTCTAAGACATAATTCAGTGTTTGGCAAGCCAAAATGGTTGGCTTTGAGCCACATCCTAGAATAAAATCCAAGCAAATTACATTTTATCAATGCAATCTATCAACTCCTCAACCTGGCAACCAGAGAAGAACAGAAGGAAAGTATTCATATCATTTCAGTGATTCACATGGCAGTTTTGAATAGCTTTATCTTCAGGGGAGATTTGGTACATTTGTCTTTTTTTTTTTCCCTTCAACTTTTTGAAGTTTATAAACTTAAAAAAAGAGGAATGACAGGTACGGAGTCTTTTGTGACTTCTACTTCAATCCTGCTTTTTTTAATTTGTTTCTTCTGTTTCCAACTCTATATACAGACTAATTGCCCAGGAATTGCCTGCAAGATCAAAGGGCAAATATAGTCTAAGTAGAGGATGTGACCAGAAGCTGGGAGGGTCATACATTGGGCCTTCATTACAGCTGACTTCTTCTGCCAGGACATTAGAAGTTTTCCCAAAGCTTTATGAAAGCAAACACGCCTGACTTATTTTTATTATACGTGTGTGTGTGTTTTAACCCTTATGGAAAGAATTCTTATGATAGCAAGAGTAAAGTGCCAGGTAAAAGATTGCATGCAAAGATTTCCTTTACTTTCGTATCTTTATTTGTGTTTCTTCTAGAAATTGACCAGGGAAGCTGTGGAGATCCTGGAATGCTAGCATATGGCAAGAGAGAAGGGTCAACATTTCGCCACGGAGATTCGTTGACATTTGAATGCCAGCCTGCATTTGAACTGAAGGGGCAGAAAACAATCACTTGTCAAAAAAGTAGCCAGTGGTCTTCTCAGAAACCAGTCTGTGTTTGTAAGTCAGAGGGAAAGAATGTCCTTTCCCATTTACCAAGGGATATCTCAGAAGCTATCAAGTGAACAACTTGACATGTTGGGTGCAATGGAGATGGGAAGAAAACTAAACCAAGCCTACAGGCTCCCCAACCAGGCTAGCTTTAAACCCTTATTTATAGGTGGTTTGGAAGGGACTCATGCTTCCAAGGGTTAACTGAAACTCAGCCATGGAGAAGGAAGGCCCAGCTGGTTGATTGGAGAGGTTCTGGTTATTAACTCCATCACCCATTGTAGCTGGCAAGCAGAGAGGCCCCTGACACCTCAGAAACTATCAGTCTTCAGAAGAAGCTACCATTCTTATGTCAAGAATCAGCAGTCACCATTGTGCAAATTCACAATGTTGTACTGTGCCAAAAATCTCATGAGACTTTATGTGAAAACAGATTATCTGAGTCTTGGCGACTTTGAAAGATTTCACCCATCTCTTTGTACATGTCCTGGGAGTCTGTCTATAGCATCCTAAGTGATGTTCTAGTGTTTCTGGGTGTCACATTGACAGCTTGCATCTTAACATCAACACTTCTGTATCTTGCTTAGTGCAGATAGCCCACACACCTGGGACTTAGGTCATGAGGACAGGTTAGACTTTAGACTTTCCTCCAAAGCCTCTACAGTCTCCAATAGATGCGTTTAGTAACTAAGAGGTACTCAGTTCCAGGGTTTAATGGAAACTAAGCTCTTGTTAAGTTAGGCTTAAATAAAAGTAGCCTCCTCAACTAATTTTATTTCTCCAATGCCCTTTGTCCTGCAGTAGCACAGCAAAGAAAATAAGAACAACTGTAGACCCTGACTAAATCCAAGTTGATCCCTCTCCAAATTCTAAACTACAAAAAACACTTTGAGTTACAGTAACTAAAACCATCTTAAAAACCCACTCATGGAAGGATTATAGATTAAAATAACTGGTGGAAAAATCTCTTCTAAAACTACCAAAGAAGTCCTTCTTAGGTGAGAGAGCATTAGGGAAATAGAGTTAATCCAGTACCAGTGGTCTGTCTGATGGATGCTCAAGATAGCCGGCAGGGCAAGACCTCAAAAGATAATCTGAGAATCTGACTGCCTGCCTGCCTCTCTGACTAAACTGTTTATTTCTGCTTGTCATATTTTCCATTTAGTGGTTAATTGTCTCCTTTCATCCCCCTTCTGATGCAAAAGGGCAGTTATCACTAAGTAAAAAAAATAAATAAATGCAAAGGTACAGGATAGTAGGCAAGACAGAGAAGTATTCTCTTTTGATCTGCTCTGCTTCTGGGAAGCTTCCTGATTCTCAGCAGGGACAGCTTTGCTTCTGTCTGGATGCTTCTCTCATCAAACTGTCATCTGCAGCCATGGACAGAATGAAAGTCATGGTTGTTCTACAGTGCTTCCATCTCTGGAAAACAATGGTGTGGTCGCTTGGGCTAAAGAGTGCCTATTTGGGCAAAATAACATCTGCCTCCTCTGGATCTAAGAATGCTCACTAGTCTTAAGATTAGCAAGTATTGCACAACCTTCGAAGAAAGTCTGGAACAATTTTAGTTTGCCATGTATTATATCCCATGCAGGTTTTTCCTCTCTGTGTTGCTATACGATACTTGTAGATTGGTAGCTGGGTATGACTCCTATGCATTCATTTTCCAATGTACTAGCCTTACACATGTATTCAAATTATTCTTATGAAAACCAAAAGTGGAAATATGGTGAAAGAGCCATTCCCAACATCGCTATCCTTTATTGCAGTGTTTCCCAAACTTGACAATTTTAAGGCATGTGGACTTCAACTCCCAGAATTCCACAGCCAGCAATGCTGGCTGTGGAATTCTGGGAGTTGAAGTCCACATGCCTTAAAATTGTCAAGTTTGGGAAACACTGCTTTATTGGGTTGAAGAGTCAGATCTAATGCACTTCCTAGCTTTTTCTTTCATTGCACCTTTACTTTTTTTTTACTGAAAACCTTTGTACATCCTCATGTGACAGGGATTGGCAGTACGGTACAGATAATCCTTGACTTTTCTGGGGCCAGAAATTCAGTAATAAATCATTGCAGTCATAACGAAAGCTTCCCCATGTGACTGGACCTGTTGTTGTTGTTTTTCCAATATTTTGTAGTGCTCATGAAGCCAATGCATTCTTCTGAATGGGTGTTTTTGATGGAAAGTGGTAAAAAAAATGTTGTAAATCATGGTCACATGACCATGGGATGCTGCAACTGGTCATAAAAACAAGCCAGTTGCCATGCACCTGAAATGCACATGACTGCAAGGGGTGTGTGGTGACATCTTATGATTCTCAGAAGTGTTTCACAGGCCATAGAACACCCATCCCAAAGTTGTCATAATGCCGACTGCTCATCAAAAGCCCTCTATAAGTCAAGGGTTACCTGTAACTGATGGTGCCATGATATACAGTTCTTCTTGCCTGGCAATGACACCTCAACCATCAAATTAAATTTTAACTCTTTCTGAGAACTAGTGTGGTTTGGTAGCTAAGATGACAGAGAGGAAGTAGTTTCCCTTTAGTCATGGAGGGTAGCTCCATGTAGACCATATGGGACTCTAGACCAGAGCCCGGAATTGTATGGTTAATTCAGGTGGAGAAAACTGGATCAAATAACAAAGTCAAACAGACAGAACCAGAAGCTCATATACTATGGGTAGAGTTACACAATAGGTCGGGCAGTTTACAGTTGAACCCATTGTGGGAACCAATAAGGCATTTTGTCTTAGCAGATGCACTGAATCCTGTAGAACTCCACACTGACCTGTTTTGAATGTACAAAAGTGGAGGTGTTGCTAGATTCTTGTAATTAGTCTTGATCTCTCTCTTTTTATGAAAATCTGTTTCTTTGGAATGACCAGAAGCAGCCCAAATATCTTATGCTATGTAATGGTTTAGGACACAGGTGTCAAACCCGCAACGTCACGTGACTTTTTTCCCATTGCCGGCAATGGGGTAGGCACGGTTTTGGCATAACGCATCCGGCCTATAGGCTGGCAGTTTGATATCCCTGGTTTAGAATTTGGTTCTAGAAACAAGGCTTCAGTAGAGGAAAGATCCGTAAGAAGGTCTGATAAAAAAAATGTATCTGTCTTTGTGTTTATACATAAATTGGTTACATTAATATTCTGTTTCTGTTTCTACAACTTATAAATGGAAACGGCAGTGTCACATCAACACTCAAGTAAATTGTGTAGATTTACTTGTAGACATGTAACTGTGATTGAATACAGATGAGGATCAAACAGTAGCTACATGTTGAATGGGATTGGTATAAAATATATAAAAACGAACCGGAACTCTATATGTTCAAACTGTAACATTTGTGCACTGATGTGAATTTTGAAACGGGTTCATACCTCATATAGCACCTATGTTGTATGTTTTATGGACTATGGCTTAGAACAGGGGTCTTCAAACCTGACCCTTTTATGACGTGGATTTCAACTCCCGGCACGCTGGCTGAGGAATTCTGGGAGTTGAAGTCCACAAGTCATAAAAGGGCCACGTTTGAAGACCCCTGGCTTAGAACAACACCTTTTTCATCTAAACGGCATCAGAACCATTTTGGTATAATTCAGACTAGGTTCGCAATTACACAAATTGACCATTGGTTTGGAAACATTACCTGTGATGTTGTTGTTAGGTTGTTTAAGATAGGGATGAGTAACCTTGTTTTTATCAAGTGAGGCATCTATTCTGTTAGATTTGGCCTTGGGACTAAAAGCAAGAAATGGGTGGGACTAAGCCTACAATAGAAGATTCAGGTTTGGGTTCTATCTCCTCATGTTGACTCTTCATTGCATCTTCATCTTCCTCCCAAGAAAAGGAGAAATAGTTCAAACCACATGGTTCTTGGAGAGAGGGGTTTAAACATCTGAGCAAAGTGGGAAAGTTGTCTCAACTATCATAGGTTGTGATTATCTTATGGGATTTTGGGAGCATCTATTTCAAGTCAAATCAAAAGGGAAAATTGAGATGATGATACCCAAGTAGCCATCTGTAATATCTTGGGGGAAATGGTTGTCTTTTTTTTTTTTTACAAAATTTTATTTATAATACAATGAAAAGAAACATTGGATATAACGTGACATTCCAGTATATACATTCTTATCAAATTATTCCACATTTGACAATCAATTCTTCATCTCTGAATATACATCTAAATTTTATATACAATACTTAATCTATTTCTCTATTTGTTAACCTAAAATTACATATATTTCTATCTTAACCTATCTAGCCTATAATCCCAACTGTCGTCCAGCAGTAAAATTTATCCCAGGTTTTGAAATAAACTGATCTACATTTGTCTTTCAATACCCTTGTGAGCCTGTCCATTTCCGCACATGATAATATTTTATATAGTGTCTCTTCCTCTGTGGGAATTTCTTTGCTCTTCCATTTTTGCGCGAACACTAGCCTAGCTGCAGTCAAGACATGTAACAGCAAATAGATTGTTCCCTTATTGTATGTCTTTGTAGTTATTCCCAACAGAAAAAGTTCAGGTTTTAACTCTAAGTCCAATATTAATATATCTTTCAGCCATCTTCGTATCCTATTCCAATACTCATAAGCCTTTGAGTATTCCCACCACATATGATAATATGATCCTATTGCTGTTTTACATTTCCAGTATAAAGGTGAGATATTTGGACCCATTTTAGCTAACCTTACAGGTGGGAAGTGCAAGGGAAGATGGTTGTCTTTGTTTACATGGCTCATCCTGCCCTCTGTGGCTTATCCCAGGTTATTCCCAGGTATGTAAAATGACTTCCAAGAAGAGCTTGATAATGGTCCATCCCAGAGTATTTGGACTATTACCATTCAGTCTGTTAATTCTGAGCCCCAACTTCCAAACTGTCAGGTTGATAGTGGTATTGTAAAATAGGTTCCTCAATTGGGTTGGTGTGGCTGCTTGAACATGTAACCATAGAATGGCAATCATTTCATCAACTTTTGTAGAAAGGTGTTTTATACAGG